ATACTCGATAGATCGGACATTTCGGACATACAACGAAAATATACCTTCCTTCCACCTTCTAACGTGTCCATATCTCCATTTTTATAATAACGTGATAATAATAAATTTTAACATCAAGCTTACTCAACATTAATTCCCTAATTGTTGAAAACAAAGAAGTACGTTTTATTTCAATAGCATCGAAATATCGAAATTTTATAAGATCCACGATCGGCAATTTAACGTCGCTCATCCAATCCCCGTAAATATAAATTCGCGACGAGCGGACGAGCTGGACACTCGATTAAGGCGAGGCCCAGACGAAATTTATCGCATTCTCAAAACATTCGAGACACGCTGTTCCCCAACAATATACTTTAATGCTAACCACTTTCTCCAACTTTACCATCCGCTTCCTTGTCACCCTCCCTCCGCCCCCCCCCCCCTTCATCAACCACCTTCACAACGCCGCCACAGTCAGCCGCCATTCCAATTCTCGCCTCGCTGATTATGTACCTGCGGCCACCTCGTATCATCCTCAACCACCGCCATCATCCACCGCCCCCGTAAATCCCGATCCGAACGCTTTATTCGCCTCATGGCTATTCCTCGTCATTTATAAAAAAAAAAGCCTCGATCCGCAATGGGCACGGATCAAAGCTTAGCTCTCGCAAGCCGTCTGGCGCAGTTTCCGGTACTCCTCTTGCCCACGTGATCGACCACCCGATGGTAAAATCGCCGAGTTAACGGATTAACCCGCAATGCGAAAACGACCGTGAAAACGACCGCGAAAACGACCGCGAAAACGAGGTCGCGTACGTCTTTGCACCCTAGAGGAAATCTAAAGAACAACGTTCAAGTCAACGAGCCTCCCAGCGGCATACTGTCCCGTCCTTTTCCAACTTTATTTCCATGCGAATTCTCTCCGTCTTCGTTATTATTTCATGCCCGACACTCACCCCCTCGCCCCGGGCATCTATAGTCATAACAGCATAGGACGAGTAGCCGCATGCGCTTGGGAGAGAGGAGCGGCAACGAGGTCGAACCTCCGCGACTGTACAAAATGATACCATTTGGTTATAAATTCTAAGCGGAGACGCTCGAGCAGCCCGATCGCACTCCCACCCACCCACCGACCCGACTCTTCGCTGAGCTTTTCACCCTTCCCTCCCTTCTCTCTCCTCGCTCATCGCGTCCCACAATCACTCGTTCACCGAGCGGGTGTCGCGCGCGTCCCGCTGCTGGATAATGCGTATCGGCGAGCCGAGCTGCCGACAAAATCAATCGGATATTCGGATAATTTTCCAGGCTGGGGAATGCGTTGATCGCCTCGTTGTCCACGTATATTGCGCTCTAATCTACTCGGGCTGGTCTCTTACATTCGCGCAACTCTGGTAGGATTCTCTTGTGGTAGGATTCGAGACACTTTTATCGATTCGTGCAATCTTTGCGTTTGCCCCGACTACGCGATGATTTATGCTTTAAAGTCAATTTTTTTTTTTTTTTTTTTTTTTTTTTTTTTTTTTTTGATAGTCATTGGCATTGTTACTGTTATTATTTTTTCCTTGTTGTCTTGGAAGAGTCGGGGAACGAGATTCGATAGTCGCTGACCAAACACCCCCGCAGTCGATTGCTTATTTATCCAGCACACAGTGGCCGTCGGCACTCGTGCCGCACTCTCTTGGCGCATTCTGAAATTTTGTATCTCCGTGCACTCCACCACTCACCTATTAATATATTATTCGTCATCAAAGATAGAGATATTTCTCATATGGGCAAACTATTGATTAGATTTGTAGAGTACTGTAACGACACTCGACCGAGCGCATTGGATTTAAGACGGTAATAAACGTTGCCCCTAGTCTTATCATTATCCATTATATCTGGCCGATGCATATTGGCGATAACCATATTGTTTATTATTATTCCCGAGATGACATGTGCGGTGTACGAGAGTGCGGCACGATGAAAAAGGCGAGCGGAAGAGCCGCCGATAGAAGCCACGCCGTAGAGGGCTTCATTTAATTTGATAAAATCGCAGCTCTGGCGTATGGTAATATTGTAATTACGATATGCTTGCATCGCAGGTCTTTACCCGCCCTTGCAAATGGCGACACCTTGCATAAAGGCGATATCGCCGAGCGAGGGTTGGACATCGGGAGGGTCGACGGTGATAATAATTGGCGATAATTTCTTCGATGGGCTTCAAGTTGTCTTTGGCACAATGCTGGTGTGGAGCGAGGTAAGCCCTTTCACTTCGCGTAACACGACGCGCTAAATCAGATCTCCATCTTATCTCCGTGACGTTTTTATGCTTTTCACGGGAGACGAGAAAAAAAGAAAAAAGCAAGAAGCAAGTAATGACCCTTTGTTCTTTTGCAGCTGATAACGCCCCACGCAATCAGGGTACAAACGCCACCGCGGCAAATTCCAGGAGTCGTCGAGGTCATACTGTCCTATAAGGGCAAACAGTTTTGTAAAGGAGCACCGGGCCGATTCGTTTACGTCTGTAAGTATACTCGAGCGGTAAATTGCAGAAAGTCTGCGTTTGCCTGTCCATACTCGCTCAGCCTCACGCTTTTATTTACTTATTTATTTATTTATTTATTTATTTATTTACTGTGTTAAGCCTACTAGTCGATTAGCTGTTTCTCATTCGGCTCTCTCACTCACTCCAACCGCGAATAATCTGAATAACGATAACGCAATCGATTCGATACCACGTGACTCTATATTTCCGCTGAGTTTTATCGCCCTCTCACGCACATTACACAAAATAAATAAAAATACAAGAACAAAATATGTTTAATAACGCGACTAAAGGTGTGGAAAATAATGCTAAAATTACCAATCTCCACAAACTATTTAAAATCGGTCGCTTGGGGAGAGAGGGGGGGGGGAGAATGAGTGAGTAAGTGAGTGGGTGGAGGGTAGAGGGGGGGGGGGGGGGGGGATG